ACATTTAGAAGAAAAATAGGGAGGCAAAGCATTAATGGGACAAAGAGATGTGGTATTTTCTATTGAAGATATTTTATAGTTTAATCAACTGGACTAGGGAGAAATGTTCGCATATTGATATATTCACTTTGTAAGCTAAGTAAGGTGATTGAATGTATAAAAAATGTAATAAAAATGTAATAAAAATAAATATATAAAAAATACACTTAAGAATAAACTAAAAAAGAGAAAATAATAGTCGAAGAAAGCATTGCATTCTGGTCTCTACCTTTAACCTTCTTCTTTCTTATCTGTTCACTGAATGGTCACTGGCCACCTTAGTACTTTTGAACATTGGAGATCAAAAAACTCTTAGGATGCCTAGAGAGTGGTTCGTCCCATAGGATGCCTAGAGAGTGGTTAGACCAGTGCCTCTGGGCTTCCATGAATAGAGCTCAAGGGTCACAGTAAACACCCTGGGACCGTCAGCAAATAGACACAGGTACAAAAGGCTGGATGATTGGAAGCAGTGTCTAACAATGGTCTCCTCCAGTGTTGGCCACTCAAGTAGGTATGCACACACAACATTTCCTCCCCTCCTCCTACGTGACCTCAGGTCAGTCAGTTCCCCCTATAAGTCTTAGTCCATGCTTTTTAATGAGAGAGAGAATCTATTGTATTTTGTAGGTTTATGGTACTAAAATATATTAATCTAAATGCACATTTACATACTTAGGGTATCTATGTCAAGGTTTGGTACATTAATAGTATTTCATGTTATTATTATTCCTTACAGAAAATCAAAGGTAGGAGTAACCTTAAAGACTATCCGCTCCAACACTCTCCTTACTCAGATGGAGTTGAGGTCTAGAGAGGAAATTTAATTTGCCTGGAATCACATAGCAAGTTAGTGACAGAGAAAGAACTAAAAAATGTTCTTGCCACATTCTTCTCCAAAGCTGTTTTTCACCCAGTCTGGCTGAGTCATGTTGGAAAAATTCACACTGTGAAGGTAAAGTCAGAGTATCTTACCTCCAATGGGCATTGTCCTGTCTTCTCCAGTTGGTGGGTACATCCCTCTAACATTTTTTTTGGAGAGATTTTGCTACAAGGCACGTGTTCTCACCAGAGAGACAGAGAGACAAAGTGAGAAATCACCCTCCAGGGGGGATGGCCACGCCGCAATCCCTTCTCCTCCATTCTCCTCTTGGGATCTTGGGCACGCACACACATGCGCCCAGCTTGAGTATAAGCCACCGGGTCCAGGACTCGAACTACGGTCAACTACATGGGAGTTCAGTGACATAGCCATTATGCTAACTGCTGGTCCCCATCCCTCTAACATTTTTGAAAAAAAAAAACCTTTCTCTGCCAGGCTATTTCTACACAACTATAGGAACCAGTGAACACTAGAAATGATTAAAGGCCTTGAAATATTTCAAGACCTATGCTCACTTTGTTAGCACATATACTAAAATTGGAGCAATAAAGAGAAGACTTGAATGGATCCTGAGCAAAGATGATGTGAAAATTCATAAAGTGTTCCATAATTTTCAGCTTACATAGCTTGTGCTCCCCCCTGGAAGAGGTGGGCTGTTTCCAGGAACACCTCTGGGATACAAGGCTGATCTCCTCCCTTCTGTCATTACAAAGTCTACTTCAATTAACAAGTAGACATGAATACTTCATCAGATGATGAGAACCGATGTAGAAACACAAGAAACATAAAAAAACAAACAAACAAACAACAACAACAACAAAAAAGGAAATATCTCTCCCCCAAGGGGACACGATAATGCCTCTCTAACAATAGTCAGCACAAAAGACTTCACAAAGATGTCCAAAAGAGATTTTCAAATATTCATTATGATAAAACGCAATGAGATGCAAGACAAAACTATCAATTCCAGAAGATGTGATCATTCCATGACATGAAGGAATAATTTAATAAAGAGACAGACATCTTAAAAAAATCAAACAGAACTCCTAGAAATGAAAAATATAAGATCAAAACATCCCTTGAAAACATTAATAGGAGATTGGATCACGCAGAAGAAATAATTTCTGACCTTTAAGATAAAGTCTCCAACAGACCAAATCACCAAAAAGAATGAACAAAATAACCCCACAAATAAAGAAGATAAGAAGATAACATACAGGAAATTCTAGACACCATTAAACCTTAAAGACTATCCACTCCAACACTGTCCTTATTCAGATGGAGTTGAGGTCTAGAGAGGAAAAATAATTTGCCTGGAATCACACAGCAAGTTAGTGACAGAGAAAGAACTAAAATAGAAGGTTTTATGCATATATATATATATATACACACACACACACACACACACACACACACATATATAATTTTGGATGTTCCAGAAGGCAAAGAAGATGATAAACAGATAGAAATTGCTTCTACAAAATACTATCTGAAAACTTTCCAGAAAATTCAGACCCAGGAAACAAATAGAACTCCAAATAGAATCAGTGCACTAAGATCCTCTCCATGGCACATCATAGCCAGATTGATCAGAATCAAGACAAAGGTAAGATTCTAAAAATGACAAGGGAGAAACATCAAGGGTTATCCTATAAGGCTAACGTAAGACCTCTCAACTGAAACTCTCCATGGCACATCATAGCCAGATTGATCAGAATCAAGACAAAGGTAAGATTCTAAAAATGACAAGGGAGAAACATCAAGGGTTATCCTATAAGGCTAACGTAAGACCTCTCGACTGAAACAGTACAGAAAAAGAAAGAATAGCAACACATATTTAAAGCACTGAAAGAAAACAATTTCAATGAAGAATACTATAGCCAGCAAGATAGTCCTTCAAATGGGAAGAGAAACTAAAATCATTCTGAGATAAGTAAAAACTGAGAGAATTTACTAACACTAGTCCAGTTCTTCAATAATTACTGAATGGAATATTAAATTAGGAAAACTAAGGAGAGACAAACAGAAATAAGACAACATATAACCAAGAAGATGACTAACACAATCGCAGGGATACGTCCACAATTATAAGAGATAATGTTAATAGATTAAATTCTCCAATTTATTTTTTTTATTCAATTAATGAAATCTTTTAAAAGTCTTTATTTTTATTCACATTTAATCACATATATCTTCACAGTGTACATTTCTTTTTCCTGAATGAATACCATGCATATCAGTCAAGACAAAGATATTACTATATACATTATCATCAGCAAATAGCTTCTCCTTTTTTGCCAATAAACGTATTTTCACTATTTTTTCTTCCCCGTTCCCACCTTCCTTCCCAGAGTAAACTTTTTCTTTTCACATCTTATTGTTTCACAAAAGATCTTCATTAAACTAAAACTATGGACAAAGCTAAAACCTAGTGACAAATGCACTGTAATTTTCTTATGAAATCTTTTTTAACCTCTCCATCCCCTCTTTTACTAATGAGAGGTATAAACTAACTTATTTGCAATAACAAAAACAAAAAATTACTTTCTAATTGGTCTGTTCTTTGCAAAAAGCCCCATAAGAATTCAGTTTCTGATGCAAGGCAACAGATACTATTGTATTGTTGAAATTATGCAAACAACAAATCTGTTTTCTTATGAAATCTTTTTTAACCTCTCCATCCCCTCTTTTACTAATGAGAGGTATAAACTAACTTATTTGCAATAACAAAAACAAAAAATTACTTTCTAATTGGTCTGTTCTTTGCAAAAAGCCCCATAAGAATTCAGTTTCTGATGCAAGGCAACAGATACTATTGTATTGTTGAAATTATGCAAACAACAAATCTGTCACAAAATAAGAATATTCACAAATATTTTCCTATTGCAGAGGGGCCAGGAAAGGAGGAAAGTTTATGTTTATGTTATTTTTACAAAAATAATTTAACAAATTTCTGAACCTGTCAACAACTCAAAAGAAAACAAAAATCCTTAAATCTGGAAGACAAAGCATAGAAGAAAACCAGTACTGTTTTTAGTAAAAAGTCAGAATTCTATTTCACCAGTTCAGTCTCATGTAATTAATCTCTCTTTTGTAGAATTTGCAGCATTACTAAGTTTGATCTTTCCATTTAAATCCTGGAAGTTAACATTTAACATTATTATTGATATTTCTGGACTTGTCCTTATTATACTGGCCATTTCCTTGGCTGTTTTTTATGCTCTTACTTCTGGGCATCTGACTGTAGTTTTCCTGGAATATCACTCCTTCAGCACTTCTTGGAGAGCTGACTTGGTGTCGGTAAATTCTTTCAGGTTTTGTTTATTTGAGAATGTTTTTGTATTTTGTTACCAAATGAAGGATAATCTTGCTGGGTATAGTATTCTTGGTTGAAATTGTTTTTCACTTAACACTTTGAATATAGTTTCCCATTCTTTCCTGGCTCACATTGTTTTTGATGAGAGGTCCGATGTTAGCCAGATGGGATATCCTTTGAAAGTAACTTGATGTTTCACTCTTGCCACTTTTAATACATTGTCTTTGTCTGTGGTTTTGGTCAATCTGGCTATGATGTGCATTGAAGAAGATCTTGGATCGATTCTATGTGGGGTCCTTTGTATTTCTTGGGTCTGGATATTTAAATTGCTCTCTAGGTTTGGAAGGTTTTCTTCCAGTATTTCATGGAATAGATTATCAATGCCCTTATTTGTTTCTTCACCTTCTGGGATAGCCATTATCCGGATGTTTGGGTGTCTAGTGGTATCTGGTATTACTCGTATATTATTCTCTCTCTTTTTTTTTCAGTTATTTTCTCAGTCTTTTTGGTAAATTTTTCTAGGCCAGAGATTCTGTCTTCTACATCTGAGATTCAATCTTCTGCATGATCTAATCTGCTTTTAAGACTTTTGAGAAAGGTTTTGATTTCCTGTATTGCAGCCTTCATCATCTCTAACAGTCTTGTTTGATTCTTTTTTTATGGTGTTTATTTCCTCTTTTGGATAGTTCAAGAATTTCCTCACCTCCTGGAACTCCTTCTTCTGTGTCTTCTGGAGACATTGTCTCTCTTCTTTTACATCTCTGTTAGCTTTGTCACTATGAATATTCTAAATTCTTTATCAGACATTTCAAGGACTTCCATTGTATTGTCTGTGGATGATTAGTTGTTCTTTTCCCTTGGTGGAGAGATATTTTTTTGGTTTCTCATAATTCTTGTGCCTTTGTGGTGGTTTCATCTAATGGATTGTATGTTTCTTCCTAATTTCTCGAAATTCAATCTGGGCATTCAGAGGTGTGTAGGAGGAGGTGATCTGTAATCTGTCTGCAAAAAGTTTCATTTTGCTCCCTTTGTGTAGTAACTTCACTGGGAACCGATTATTCTGACCCTAATAGTATTCAGATGTTTGGCTACTGTTCACCTAGCCCTGTCTCAGTGTGTGGAGGCTGAACAATAAAGTGATAAAAGGTAAAAAGTAAAAGGAAAAGGGAAAGAAAACAAAGAAAAAAATTAAAGAAAAAAGTCAGAGAGAAGAATGAAGAGGATGCTCTACCCACTATAGATTGGGGTCTGGAGGATGAAGTCTAAGCAGAAAACCTTCAGTAGTACTGGGCCCTGAAACAGACTGATCACAGCTCAGATGCAGATGTCATCACAGAGGGCCTGCACTTTGCCTCTGATTTATTATATTTAAAACATTTTCTCATGCTACACTTTTTATATTTCTGTATACATAATATATTTCATAATATGTTTTTATATTTGTATTTTATTTATTTAATATGTTCATAATATTTCTCATATCACAATTGTATTACACAGTCTTATACTCTTTTCTCACTTCTTTTTTTCCTAGTCTTTTCTTTTTCATATTTTATTGATTCACAAAAGATCTTAATTAAATTACATTTTTCAATAGTAAGTATAGTTGATGTTGTCATAACTATGAACTCAAGTCTCCCTTTAGGCATAAAACTCAGTGAGTAGAATGAACATAGTATAAAGTGGCACCCAGCAGGGGCTATGTAGCTTACTGTGGTCATTAAGTAGGTATAGTTTAATTATTTATTTATTTTTCTTTGTTTTCTTTTAAAATTTTGTATTATCATCATTTATACATTCAATCGTTATACATCATTTAGATCATAAAGGGACTTTACCCAGCATGATATACACCTCTATGTATTATTATTATTATTATTTTTAATTTCAAGACATACATAGACTGAAAGTTGTAGCTTTAATAAGTCAAAATAAAAAAAAATTGTTAAGAAAAATTTTCTCAAGAATTAAGAACAGGGCAAAGCTTAGGGTTCTGTTCAAGCAGAAGGTAGATACTAAAATGTGAAGTAACAGATATGGACAAAGCTAAGATCTAGTAACAAGTGCACTTTAATTTTCTTCTGAAAATTTTTTTTCTCTTTCCATTCTCCCTCTTAATAGAGAGGAATAAACTAACTTATTTTAAAAAAAAATAGGTTAATCTCAATTTGTTCTGTTATTTGCACAAGACCCAGAAGAATTCAATTTCTCATGCAAGACAACAGATAGTATTGTATTATTGAACTTACGAAAATAACCATTTGGCTGCAAAATGAGGGAATTTGGTTGCCTCTATAT